CCACAATCTTGCTGTCTTCTCGCTCCAGGTAACGCTTCCACATTAGGTTGGCTCGGTCATCATCACTACCACAGATCAAGAGAAGTGGGGAGCACCCATGAGACAGCAGGAACACTGAGTGCTCCCTACATCACTGAAATAACCCACAGAGCCCACCCAACCCCAGCTCCTTCCCTCAATTTCAAGGAAGAGTCAAAAGGAATAATGCTTCAGAGACTTTTCTGAGGAAAACCAAAGTGAGAGGAGAAGAAATGTAGACATGGAATATGTTATCTTCCCCCACCTGGCTGCAAATCCTTTATGCCCCATGTAAATTAATTATTTCCTCCTCCTTCAATATGGTGGCATCCTTAGCATTTTCCTCTGCTCCATCTGTACCCCTCAGCCTCCCTCCCCCTCTTCCTCTGCACTGCTTCTCAAACCATTTCCTAAACTGAAGGGTTTCCCTGAACCCTGCATCCTCAGTTTTGACTAGCTCAGGATGAACGCTGTGGATTAACTATGGGGAGAAGAGGGAGGGGGAGCGACCCTTACCTTAATTCAGGTTCTTCTAGCAGAGCCCCTCCTCGACGGGGTGGTGAGGGAGCTGGGTTGTTGGCCAGGATTGGGGGAGCCCGGCGGCCTCGTCGGTTGATTTCTAGATGTAGCCGCTCCATGAGGAGCTTCAGGAATTCTTGAGCATCCTGCTGGCTATAGCCAGACAGAGAATATGGGTAAATGAGTCCCTCCTAGTCTCTGGACTAGGACACTCTGTCTAGAGACACTATTTCCTGCCCAAACATCAGTCCTCCTTCCCGGATGAAGGACATCTCAAGGCTGAGAACACTGCTGCCAGGGCCCCTGCTTGGCCCTACCCCCAGACATGGCAGGAGAGAAATCCCATACTCTCCAGGTCTCCCACCTGTATCCAGAGAAGGAGGGAACATATTTCTGGAAGACAGCTCGGAATCGAGTAGGATTCACAGCTTCACAGGAGTCAGGGTGCCACAGGGCACCAATCACATCTGCAAAGGCTATTGGGGTAGAGTGGGGAAAGGAAACAAAAGCTAATTACTGAAAGAGACAAGCAAAAGAACACTCAGGGGGTGGGATGTAACCGCTAAGAAACTAGGCACTGGGATACAAAATGAAAGCCAAATTAAAGGGTTGAGGCCAGCAGTACTGACAGATTAACCTGCAAGGAGGAAGGATAATGGAAATTTGAAAGGAGCGCACCTTCAGTGAGCTCTTGGGCTCGACCCCCTCCAGGCACCTCTTGCCGAAAGTCCCTTCGCAGACAGAAGTCCCGAAGAGGCCGAGTGCTGCTCAGACACTGTAGCACGGCATTTAGGAAGCACTGGGGAATGGTAGGGACACTGCCATTATCTCTCTAGACCGGTGCCCCAGAAGCGTAAGAGCTTCAATGCTCTCCTTTCACACCCCTTCCCCAAGTCAGCAGCTTCCTCCACATGCTCCCTACTTCTAGCACCATTTCACATTCCTTTTGGCGTGGAAGAATAGGAGAATAGCTCTCACCGTGTTCCCCAGATTTCGGAGGCCAACATGACCAGAGCCTAGAAGCAGCGTGTGATGAGCCTGGAAGGTGAAACTACAATCAGCAGGTTCTCACATACCCCACCCGGCACTTTAACCTTTCAACAGTGTGCTGCCCACTGCCTCCCCCACCCCACATGGTTCTCCACCAAACTCTACCCTTTTTCCCCTCACTTAATATTCTGGTCTCCCTACCTCACTGGCCATGAACAGTAAGCCCATCACAGCTGAATGTACCACAGTCTCAGCCACAGCTGTCCCACCTGCTCCCCACTTACTCCTCTGCCAAGCTAGCCTGCGTTGCAGTTCCTGGGGCAATTCCCCAAGCACAGGCATGGCTGCCCAGCTGCTCCCTACCCCTACCTTACTGCCCCCAAGGCCCCCTCCTGCCCCCGTGGCCCCTTCCTGCACCCTTTCCTGCTGGCTCTAACTGTGATCAGCCTAGCTCACTTAGCTCGGGAAACAGGCAACCACAGTAGCTCAGCTATTCTGAGTCCATCTCTCTGCAGCTCCAGAGATTAATTAGGCTCCAGCAGAGTCCAAAGGGAGAGGGTACACCAAGGGAAAGAGCCTAGGGACTCAAAAAAGAATTCTAAATAGTTGGGTTAATTCCCTGGGGACTCAAACAACACACCATGCTGGGGAGTCATGGACAACCCAGAAATGGGTCTATGAGGCTCAATGGTACTTCATTAAGTAAGGGAAAGGAGAGTCCAAACTGCTGCAATGATGGGCTGAGAAGGGAAATCATGGATAAGGAAGGCAGGAAAGATGTATCCTGGCAAGAAAGTTTGGGGCATGGAGGAACATGGGCATGAAGGCCACACATACTAGCAAGTCCTCACCATCTTGTCTTCAGAGTAGAAAGGCTCAGAGGAGCGGGCAGATATCACGTGGAAAGAGCCATGAGAGGTAGGGGGCTCTGTCCGTATGCTGAGCAGGGTGGGAGGCCCAGGAAAGCCCCCAAGGCGGCGGAGAGAGGTGCTGCGTCTCAAAGTGGGTGGCTCAGGCCGAAGTACCAAGCGGCTCAGTGCAGCCCCCAGCTCTCCAGCACCACGGTGCCCTCCCAAGGCAATCCCCATTGGGCGCAAGTCCCCACTGCTCACAGACTTGGAACGAGCTAGGTTGGTCCTAGACGGGAGAGGCAGAGCCACAGTTGGGGGTGGTGAGCCAGGCAGGGGAACCCCATGATCTGCCCGAAGGGGGCCTCTGGGACGAGGGCCTGAGGTTCGTCCCTGTCCCAGCTCCAATTTCTTGAGCCGTTCCTCAGGGGGACCTGGCCGGGGAGGCAGAGGTCGAAACATAGGGCTTGGCCCAGGGGCTGGGGTGCGCCGCTCCTTGCTGCGGGCCCGAGGGGCAAGTGGTAGCTTGGATCCCACCCGGGTCTGGACATTAACAGGTGGCTCTCGAGTTCGGCTCAGGCGGTGCTCAGAGGCCTGGGGCATTGTGGACACCACAGGCTGGACCTGGGAGGAGAAGAGATGGTCAGCATTTGAGTACAGAGGGAGGCGGGAACTAGGCTCCCATACTAACCTCTACATGCTCTGAGTGCAGGAACCAAGTCTATCATTTCAGTTATAGTATTCCCAGTACCTCCAATAGTGTTTCAGCACAAAGTAAATAAATACTTAGTATCTATTGAGTAAATAAATGAATGATAAGCAGTCCATAACTTTGATCCTTTCTGTATCTCTTACTCCTCTCTACAGAACACAGCTTTAGTGAAAAACCAGTGATAATCCTTATCTCCACTGTCCTCAGAAACTCATGACAAAGGCCTCTATACCTGTCTAGTCAAGTGGGATGTGACCCTGGTCCCTTAGGACCTCTGGCAATATGGGGGTGTGGATGCAAGGAGAAGAGCCCAAAAGAGCCTTCCACCCTCAGAAACCTGCCCCTCCGTGCTGCAAAGGAAGCCCACTAAACGGGTGACTTGAGATCCATTCCCTTCCCCCACCCCCACCGAAGTGGTGTCCTGGGTAAGGGGGATGTAGTCGGGGATGGAGGACGCTCAATTCCTTGACCCCTAATATCTGCTGCAGCTCTCCCACCCCAGCAGTGCTTTAGCCGGGTCCGCCCCCCTCGAGGGCAGAAAGGCCGAGGCCGCTGATTGGCTGCGGGGTCCGGCGGCGTATTCCCCACGGTCCAAGGATGCTGTCCCGCCAGCCCAGTTCTCCCAGGCCTCGCTGGGCCCCACCGCGCCTCTGCCTTTGTGGAGGGCGTCCTCTTGGGCTACTGGGTCTGGAGCAGCCTTTCCTCAGCCCCCCAACGCCATTAACGCCCCAGCCCGTACCTGTCCCCCGGTGAGGCAGCGGGGGAGGCCAGCCGGGGCCAGGCCCCAGCTCAGGGCCACCCCCTCCTACCCCCGTGCAGCCCCCCCGCGGGCCCCGCTGCAGCTTCAGCCGCAGCTGCCGCCCAGATCGCTCCCGCCGCAGGCGCCGCCGCCATCTTTGTTGGTCCCGCCCGGCGCCGGGCCGCCGGCTTCACCGTCTCTCAAAGCGCCTGCGCACCCACACGCGGAATCCGCCCACCTGCTCCCTTGGCGCTTGCGTGAACCCGCCCCCTTGGCTCCAAGGCCAACACCATGGAAACGCTGCCAACGTTAGGACCAGCAGTTCCCAACGCTGCCAAGAATGGTCTTTAAATCACTGCTCCAATGCAAGTCTCTGAGATATAGGGTCCTGTCGCCCCATCTCATAGCGTTTAGGGATGTAGATACGATCATTATAGTATGGCCCCCCGGGTTGCAGCATAGATTTTGCCAAGATTGCAGGTATGTGCTTATGGGAAACTGCAGGACCTGGGTCCAGCCTGCAGACCAGTGGAGAAGCATCCAGCACTCTACATACAGCTGGCAAGATCACTGGAGGGCAAGAAGTGTAGGCTCTGCAAAAACCTCAGGCTCTTCGCAGTCCAAAGCAATAGGGCAAAGCATAGTTCACAGCAAAAGATAAAGGCAGATCTCAGCAGTAAGGAGAGCAGTTAGAATTCCCTTCATTCTCCAGCTCCTGCCCAGTGCATCCTTGGCTTCACCCCTCCTCTCAGGGAGCATAGCCTGATAACATTCTGTTAACAGACACCAATAAGAAGGCCAGGCCACCAGAGAAAGCAGCTTTTATTGACGGTTGTCTCCAGAAACCAAAAAGGCTATGTCCCCTCCCCACTTTCAATTACCCCTATCCCTGCAGGATCTAATATTGCTTCACCTAAAGAGGGGCTCTAAATTGTCCCCGGTTTTTCCAAGGTCCAAGTCTTCCCCTTCAATATGCAGCCTAACTTAGAAGCTCAGTAGTAATACTGTTTTGTCTTGTTTTTACCCCCAGCAATGCTTGCTGCCACTACTTAGTAACAACTAGGAGTGGAGGGGGACAGGGGAAGCAGTTGGATGAGTACGAAAACTGATGAACAAGAAAACAGAAACCTAGCCTATCAAAGGTCCCTCTGTCCTGCCTCAGTGACTTGATCCTTCATTGGTTGCATTTCTCTTTATGCTGGATCACACCTTTCTGAATCAGATCCGGGATTTCCACTGCCAGCCATGGACCCAGCTGCAATACAAGGGAGAGCCTGTGATTACTAACATCCAGTCAACACCTCTTGTCTCACAGAAGCTCCTTCCTGAAGAGGGGATCAGTTGGGGGGCGGGGAGAGAAGACATGTCCAAAAGACAAAACTCCTATTTCTTCTTGATTCTCAACTACTTTTCTTATAGCTCTCAGGGCCTCCCCCACCTCGCACCCCATTATATACCAAGTACACCAAACTTACCCCCAGAGCCATGAGATGAGCTAGTCCAAACTTGGGCACATTCCTGGCCCATAAAGGCTTGAAGTGATCAGTCAGGCATATTTTGCCACCCCTATGAGAAGGTGAGAAGGAAGGTACTTGACATGTAAGGTTTACCATAAAGCACAGCTGTCTCTTGGGAAAACAGGAAGACTACTAGTGATCAGAATTGAGAACAAGGTCAGCTAAGTACTTTGCACAGGCTTGGCAGAGGGAGACCTGGAGCACCGCTAGGCCAGCACATTCTGGGAAAATCTTCTGCCTCCCAGAGTTCTTCCCTAAGGTTTTTGCCCCTTTCCCATCTCCTATTCAATCCTACCTGTACATTTTTGCTGTTTTTCCATCTAGTTCAGGGACTGCAATTTCTGGAGCAGTAGTGGGATATGTAATAGGAATCTGGAGGAATTATAAAGGCTTAATGAAAAAGAGAATCAGGATACAAAAGAACTAATCTAATTATATATACCTATTTCTTGGTGGAACTGAACATGTTCAGCAAACTTCCCCCCCAAAAAAACAAAACCAAACTCACTGCCATTGAGTTGGATCTGACTCACAGTGACACATCCTTGGGTTTCTGAGGTGGTATCTCTACTGAAGTAGATTGCCCAACCTTCCTTCCAAGGAGTGGCCGGTGGGTGTGAACCGCCAGCCTTCTAGCCAGCAGTCAAATGCCTTAGGCACTATACTACCAGAGCTCCTAAACTTCCCAAGAAGCATATATGTATACCAGAATTCTGGACATGTAGATAACTGTAACCCACGTTTGCTTCAAACTTAAGGTCTCCCCTCTCATTTAAACAGTTTTCTTTTTTCCCTCCAAATGAGCTTGGCTTAACAATCACCCAATCTCTCCCCTTCTACCAGCCTTCACACTCACGTCAAACTCGATGTCAAATTCATACTTGAGGAGGTCATGGATGTACCAGCATTTTCCAAACCATCTGTAACAAAGACCAAACCTCAGTCCAATTTGTCCATTCTTCCCATACTCAAGTGATACTGTGCTTCAGGCCACTAGCCTGGGGACTCATTGTGGGATGGAGATCGGGGAGCTCTGGAGTTGTGGGGATGGAGACAGCTAAAATGAAGCAGGAAAGCCCTGGAAGTGGGATTTGGGGAACCAAATTACTTGAGTCAGGTAAGACTCTCACCCCCATACCTCCCAAGAGGGTCTGCCTACCGAGTCCCTTCTTTGTTGGACTCCAGTCGGAACCAATCGTTGTCCGCATTCTTGTTGTTCTCCACATACTAAAAGCAAAGAATAAGGCATTTGAGGGGGGAGTTTAGGCCAAGGGCAGTCTCCCTTCCCTCAAAAGAAAAGTGTGCAACTACTTTCTCTATTAGTATGCTTATGAACTTTTCTCATATAAGCAAAGTTGGAGACAAAGTCACACTGGCAAATAGAGGATTATACAAGAACAACAAAAAAGAAAGCTTGCCTTCCACTTGCTTCACTCATTGCTGTCCAGTCGATTCCAACTTATAGCAACCCTAAAGGACAGAGTAAAACTGTCATATAGGGTTTCCAAGGCTGTAAATCTTATGGGAAGCAGACTGCTTTACCTTTGTCCTGTGTACTGGTTGGTGGGTTCAAACCACTGACCTTTTAGTTAGCAGCTATACGCTTAACCATAGCGTCACCAGGGCTCCTTCCACTCACTTTAGTAGGCACAAAAGACTTAATGACATCACCTGACCTTTCTTCAGGCTTCTGATAGTATCTTCCCTCAGCCCACAACTTATTTCATGGTATACTCTCTTCCTGGAGAACTTCATATATTTCTAGTTTCGATTAGTACTACATGCTGATGACTCCCAAATCTTTATTTTTAGTCCAGACCTTTTCTCAGAGCTTCTGACTCCAGTATCTTACAGTATGTTGGACATTTCTACCTTCCCTTCACAGGTACCTCAAACTCAACATTTCCACCAGGAATTCACAAAAGTCCATCAGACCTGCTTTTATTCCTGTGTTCTCAATCTCAGGGTGGCAATGTTATTCACTTAGTCACCAAAACCAAGAACTTGGGAATCATCCCTGACCAGACCAATCCTTCACAATGTCCTGTTGATTTTATTCTCTGAGCATTTTTCAAATTTACCTCTTCTCCTCATGATAACCACCTAATTTAGATCATCTTCACCTCCTACCTTCAATTGTATCCCTTTCAATTTTATTTTCCTTTCTACTACTACTGTGACTGATCTAAACCCAAATATGACCATGTTATTCTCAGTTTAAAAGTCTTTAAAGACATCTCAATGCCTCCAAGATAAAATCCAAGTGCTCAAACCTATCTCTCCAACTTCATCTACCAACTCCCTGCTTCACATATGATGCTCTAGCAACTCTGAACTACTTGTCTCTTCATACACACCGTTTCAACCTTTTTTATGCTATACCTTCTGCCTGAATGTCCTCCTATCCTCATGTTTTATCAGGCAAACTTATATTTACTCTTTGTCTCAGTTTAAGTACCATATCTTCCAGGAACCCTTCCCAGACCAAACCCACGATGGGCTAAGTATCTCTTCCTCCATGCTTTCAAACCATCCTAGCCATTTTTCCTTCTCTTTTTTTCACATAAACACTGTGACTACCTCAATAGGCTCCATGTTATTGGGCTTTGTACTCCTTCCTTAGGTACTAGGTTCACAATTAGTGTTTGAGTGAATGATTACATGCAGCAGGAGAGCTGCTAGCCTTTGAAGTAGACAGGTTACTGCAAGGAAGACACATTTTCTTCTCTTCCAATAGTACAGGGTTTGATGAGAACACTGCTTGTTCCTGTGAGCTGAGTTCCCAATTCTCTGTAACTAACACCTAATTGGATTTTCAGTCTTAATGTGTGTTCCTCAGGAAGAGCAAAGCGAAGTGGATGAGACACAGGGCCCCAGGGAGTCCTTTTAACCATCTCCCCTACCATTCCAAGAGAGCAAACACCTGGAGCCAGAGAGACACGTCACCATCCGGGGAGGCGTATCCCTAAAAGAACTGCTGCTCTTTACCAGAAAATCTGATCCCACAATGCTCCAAGCCCGAGTCTTTTCTACCTCTTCCCTACCATCCTTCCTTAGCCCCCCAGCCCCGAAATGGCCCCGTCTCTATGAATTTGGGTTAACTTAAAAACCGGAAGCGACTTCACACGGAACCTATTCCTAAGGACACCTGGTTGATTACCCGCAACCCCTTTACGACGTGGTCAGCCACAAGCACAACTAACCCGGATAAGGGACTGATATTCTTCCTTGAGTCGCTGCACCCACAACTCCCGATCTCGGGGACCGGCGTTAGTCTTCAGTACCGGGATCTCTGACACCACACGCCGGGTAGCCTCATCCGCCATCTTGGACCAGGGCGCAAGAGAAACACGGAAGTGACGTTGCCAGCACCTAACACTCAGGGTGCCGCCATCTTTACTATGGGAAGGTGGGGAGTTGGGTTGCTTGAAGACTTCTCTAAAGGCAGTATTTATTTTTTTGTAGCGAAAACAGATTTGTCACCCTGTTTGTGAGTGAAATGGAAAGAACAGCACGGAAACGGATTCCTCTTTCTCAAATATGGCACCTATCATTCAAAACACCGATGGCTCAAAGAGTAACTTCCGCTCAGAGAAATAATCTCAGAAAAACCCTTTCGGATATTTTAACAAACTTGGCATATGAGAATTTCAGGATGCTGTGGGCACTGTTAAGGAGCTCTGGTGGCGCTGTGGTCAAAGCATTCGGTTTCTAACCAAAAGATTGGTGGTTGGAACCCACCGTCTGCTCTGCAGGGAAAAGATGAGGCAGTCTACTTCCATGAAGATTTAGACTTAGAAACCCTATGGGGGTCTTTATGAGTGGGAATTTAGTGGATGGCAGTGGGTTTGGTTTGGTGGTTGCGCAATGTTAAGGAGCTCTTGTGGTGCAGTAGTTAAAGCATTCCGATGCTAACCAAAAGTTTAGAGGTTAGAACATACCAGCTGCTTCATGGGAGAAAAATGAGGCAATCTGCTAAAGAGTGACAATGTTGAAAACTCTGTGAGAATCAACTCAATGGCAGTGTGTTTTTGGTTTGGTGGGCATTGTTCTGTGCACTCTCTTACAAAAACTGGCGATTCATCTGTTTCTGCTTCAAAAATCTTCATATAGTCAGGCTGAAGTAGCAGGAACCAAATTCAGTAATCCAATAAATAGAAGGATATTGAACTCCTGATAACTATTAGAAACTATGGAGAATCAAAATAGAATATACAGCGCCTTCCCTGAAGAATCAACATAATCTGATCAAGGAATTCTTAATAAGTGCCAAAGGAGTTTAGAGATCACAGGAGTACTTACCTCAGTCAAGCCTAGAAAAGGCATTCATTGACTGAATCCTAGATATTAACCTGGACTCAACTCATATGGGAAGGAATGTCTCGTACAGTGAGTGGAAATCAACAACATCACCATCCCTAGTGCATGGCACACAATAGGTACCCCGTAATCCTTTTGTAGAATTTTGTATATTCTAGCTGTTTTTTCAAACTAAACAAATTCATTTTGGCCCACATTTAAATAACATGTTTATTCAGATAAGGAGCTCTGGTGTCATAGTGCCTAAGGCATTGGATTGCTAACCATAAGGTTGCCAGTTAAAGCCACCAGCTGCTCTGCCTCAGAAACCCAGTGGAGGTGTCTATGAGTCAGAATTGACTTGATGGCAGTGAGGTTTAGATAGATAGATAGATAGATAGATTCAGTTGATCATTACAGCTTATGGCAGTAATTTTGGGTACAATTCTACCAATCATCAAATTCTATAGTCCATTATAGACAAGCATGTTGTTGTTGTTGTTATGTGTTGTCGAGTTGGACCCGACTCATAGCGACCCCTCCTTGGGTTTCCAAGGCAGTATCACTACGGAAGTAGATTGCCCAACTTTCCTTCTGAGGAGTGGCTGGTGGGTTTGAACCACCAGCCTTCTGGTTAGCAGTTAGATGCCTTAGGCACTATGCCACCAGAGCTCCTAAGCATGTTATATCTTGTCTAATACCTTGACTGAAACCCTTAGTACAATGTTGACTGGAAGTGATGAGCAGATTCTCTTGTGTTGTTCTGGATTTTAGGGGGAAAACCATTCACCCTTTCTCTATCAAGTGTGATATTTGCTACAGGCTTTTTTAAAAAAATATTGTTATGTGCCATCAAGTTGATTCTGACTCAAAGTGACAACAGAGCAAAATACCACCTGGTCCTGTGCCATCCTTAAAATCATTGCTATGTTTGAGTCCATTCATCCAGTCACTGTGTCAGTCTCATTGAAGGTCTTCCTCACTTTTCCTCACCTTCTACTTTACCAAGAATGATGTCCTCCTTCTTCGGGGACTGGTCCTTCCTAATAATATGTCCAAAGCACATGAGAAGAAGTCTCACCATTCTTACTTCTAAGGAGCATTCTGGCTGTACTTCTTCCAAGACAGATTTCTTTTTCATAGATGCCCTGTATTAGGTTGAGGAAATGCCTTTCTATTACCAGTTTTGAGAGTTCGTAAGAGATTTTTAAAATTAGGGTGTATGATACTTCTGAGGGGGGCTGGGCTCAGGTTTAAACTCATACCATCTTATGCCTCTTAAAACTCCATTTTGCTTGTCCAGCTTTTTTCCATTAATAACAATTAACCTTTATAAGCAGCTTATCTAGTTTCACATAATTGTATTTAGGTGATCAGGTTCACTGAAACACTTGAAACTTGTACTTTCAGAAAACAATAGAAATTAATGAGCATACTCTGTTTCTAAGACTCCAGAGGTCTTAAAATCTTGGCTTACTGATCTTGCGATTGTCTTAGCAAAATTTCTATTTTCCTACTCTTTATAATATATGAACACATACAGCTCTCTTACAAGCCACCAATGTCAAAAGTACATCATGTAAAACCATGGCTGTTGTTGTGAGGTGCCGTTGAGTCACCTCCGACTCATAGCAACCCTATGCACAGCAGAATGAAACAACACCCAGTCCTGCACCAGCTCCACGATTCCCTCTATACTTGAGCCCGTAACTGCAGCACTGTATCAATCCTATCTTGTTGAGGGCCTTTCCCTCCTTCATTGACCCTCCACCTTACCAAGCATGACATCCTTCTCCAAGGAATGGTCCCTTCGGATAACATGACCAAAGTAGGTGAGATGAAGTCTGACCACTTTTGCTTCCAAGGAGTTTTCCGGCTGCATTTCCTCCAGGACAGATTTGTTAGTTCTTTTAGCAATCCAAGGTACTTTCAGCGTTTTTCACCAGCATCACATCTCAAAAGCATCAATTCTTCATTGTCCAGCTCTCACGTGTATACGAGGCAATTGAAAATATCATGGCTTGTGTCAGGAGCACCTTAGTCCTCAAAGAGACATCTTTGCTCCTCAGCACTTGAAAGAGGTCCCTTGCAGCTGACTTGCCCAGTGCTATATGTCGTCTGATGTCCTGACTGTTGCTTCCATTGGTGTCAATTGTAGAACCAAGCAATGTGAAGTCCTTGACAACTTCAATCCTTTCTCCATTTATTATGATGGTGTTTATAGGTCCAGTTGTGAGAAGTTTTGTTTTATTTTTACTGAGATGTAATCCATACTGCAGACTGTATTCTTCAATCTTCATCAGTAAGTGCCTCAAGTCATCCTCACTTTCAGCAAGCAAAGTTACGTCGTCAGCATATTGCAGGCTGTTAATGACCCTTCCTCCAATCCTGATGCCACATTCTTCTTCATATAGTCCAGCTTCTCAGTTTACTCAGCATATAGATTGAATAAGTATGGTGAAAGGGTACAACCCTAACACACTCCCTTCTTGATTTTAAACCATGCAGTATTCCCTTGTTTTGTTCAAATGACAGCCTCCTGGTCTATGTACAGGTTCCTCATGAGTACAATCAAGTGTTCTGGAATTCCTATTCTTCTCAATGTTATCCATAATTTGTTATGATGCACACAATATAATGCTTTTGCATAGTCAATAAAACAAAAGTAAACATCCTTCTAGTATTCTTTTCTTTGAGCCAAGATCCATCTGACATCAGCAATAATAT